TGGTCTCTAGCTCCATTCATTTTCCTGCAAATGACATAATTTCATTTTTCTTTATGGATGATTTATGTATCTATACCATATTTTTTAAATCCATTCATTTGTTGATGAGCACCTAGGCTGGTTCTATAATTTGGCCATTGTGAGTTGTGCTACTATAAACGTGGGTACATATGTATCACTATAGTATAATGACTTTAATTCTTTAGAATGAATACCAAGCCATGGTGTAGCTGGGTTGTATGGTGCCTCCATGCCTAGTCTTTTAAGGAACCTCTATATTGATTTCCATAGTAGTTGTACAAATTTATAATGCCACAAACAGTATAAAATGTTCCTTTTTCTTCACATCCTCTCCAATATTTATTATTGTTTGTATTCTTGATAACTGCCATTCTGACTGGCGTGAGGTGAAATCTCAGTGTAGTTTCAACTTGCATTTCATATTGAACATTTTTCATACATTTGATGGCTGGCTGTAATCTTTTGAGAAGTGTCTGTTGAATTCATTTGTCCATTTATTAATTGGGTTATTTGTTTTTGTTTTTCAGTGTTTGGGTTTTTTTTTTTTTTTTTTTTTTTTAGTTCTTTATATATTCTAGATATAAATCCTCTATCAGAAGAGTAGCTAACAAAGATTTTCTCCCATTCTGTAGGTTCTCTCCACATTCCTAATTGTTTTTTTAATATTTACTTTTTAGTAAATATTAGGTGGACACAATATCTTTATTTTATTTTTATGTGGTGCTGAGGATCAAACCCAGTGTCTCACACATGATAGGCGGGCACCACAACTCAGCCCTAGTTGTTTTCTTTGCTGTGCAGAAGCTTTTTAATTTGATGCCATCTCATTTATTAACTCTTGGCATTATTTCCTGAGCTTTAGGGGCCCTATTGAGAAGATCATTGCCTGTATCTAAATGCTGGAGTGCTGATCTACATTTTCTTCCAGGAGTTGCACAGTTTCTGGTCTAATTCCTAAGTCTTTGATCCATTTTGAGTTGACTTTTGTGCAGGGTGAGAAATAGGGTCTAGTTTCATTCTTCTACATATGGATAACCAGTTTTCCCAGCATCATTTGTTTAAAAGACTGTCTTTTCTCCAATGTATGTTTTTAGCACCTTTATCAAGGATCAGATGCCTATAGAAGTGTGTTTGTCTCTGTGCCTTCTATTCTGTGCTGCTGGTCTGTGTGTCTTTGTTTATTCCATGAAGTTTTGGGCACTATACCTCTACAGGTATTGCGATGACTCCACGTTGCTTTTTTGGCTTAGAATTGCTTTGGTTATTTTGGTATTCTGGGTTTTGATTCTTCCAAAGGAATTTTAGGACTGTTATTCCTAGTTCTGTGAAGAATATCATTAGGGTTTTGTTTTGTTTTGTTTTGTTTGAGGTGCTGGGGATTGAACCCAGGGCCTTGTGCATGTGAGGCAAGCACTTGACCAATTGAGCTATATCCCCAGCCCATGTCATTGGTATTTTGATGGAGCATTGAAATAAGTTCTAAAGTTAGATAGTGTGGATAGCTCTATAAGGTATAGCTGTTTATACTGATGAGAATAAAAGAGTACTAAAAGCCTATCATGTCATAATTATTATTTTTTAGGTTAGGAATCAAGTTTTAAGGAACATGTGGCCCAACCATTCATGAGATACTTGAATCATGTGTACGAACAGACAAGTATTTATTCTGTTCTGAACAATCTTCCAGAGCTCATCAGATCCAACCAGTTTTAAGTACTTGTATTATATTTTCATTCTGAGTTCATTTCTCCATCTTGATCATTTTGTACCAAATATAGTGCCAAAGGCCTACAACAATAATTTCTAGTGGGTTTCCCTTGTTTAACAATGTGTCATTTCTTTTGGGAAAGTAAAGGTGATTTAGTCTTTAAGGATTCCATGCCAAGAACTAATGATGATAATTTCATTCTTTAAGTCTAAGCAGACACCCTCACCACCACTATCACCTAACTACCACTAGCAATCATTTTCAACACAGAAATTGTCAAATACCTAATTGAATATCCATCAATGTTTATTTTTATTCATCAGATGTTCATTGAGCACTTCGCCTTTCACAAAAGGCATACATTGAATGCCTCTCTGTGCCCAACATTGTGCTAAGTCTTAGGTATACTGTGGCAAGTGAAATAGAGATGATTCTTGCCTCAATGAGACCTACTGAGTAGTGAGCGAAATACCACCAAAAAAGTAAACCCAAAATTTGTTACTGAATTACAAATTGTGATAAATTATCTTAGTAAAAGAAGCAAGAGAGGGGACAATGCAGTCATGGAACCAAGAGAATTGAGGTGTGCCTGAAGCAAAAGATATAAATGGTGAGTTATCAACCTATGAAAGTTCTTGCATGTGATCATAAGGACTTTAAGTACCAGGGCAATAAAAAACTGCTAAGGGATTTAGGCAGAGAAATGACGTGATCAGATTTTTCTAAAGCATAAAACTGATCATATAATCATGCAGGAATCAACTCATTGTCAGAGATAGTCATGCTTTCTCTGTTGAATATATCCCCCTCTCTTAATAATACCTGAAAAGGATCCCTTAGGTGAGCCCCTGTACAAGTGACAACTGTAATTAGTATTGGTTGAGATGGAACCTAATCCAAATGAAGTAATGCAGAGTTTACCAATAATTAGCTTTATGATTAATATAATATATAAATGCTTTTATATTTACATACATTTATTTGTTATTCACAGAAACTTTATGAAACATAGTTGTAACTACTATCTTAGCTAAGAGCTGCTGGGGAAATATCTGCCCAGGTTCCCACCTGGGTCCTCTTCTGACATCAGAGTCATTTCCAATCTATTTTTTTTTTTTGTTTGTTTGTTTGTTTGTTTGTTTGTTGTGCTGTTCTGGTTCATATACCAATCTGAAACACTTGGTTCATGTCAGTTTTCTCAGTTCTTTGTAGCAAAACAGACAGATGATGGCAGAGGTGTCCAGCCCCTAAATCCCCACATTCGCTCTCCAGGTAAAGATTTCAGCTGTCTCTACAGCTCTGGCTATCCCCATTTATATCTGGCACCAATGAAGTCAATTATTCTATGAAGAAAAAACACATAATAAATTTCAAAGTGAATTCTACTCTAACATAAAATTCAACTCCAATCTAATAAAACCCTAGTACAAAATTCAACTTCATGATACTGAAATTGCTAGGGAATGATTGTGGCAGTTGGATCGGGAAGATCAGGGTATCTAAAGAGAAAATAGTTACTTTAAGGATAAATGCTTCCTTGTCAGCTCTCTTATTATTCCAAAACTATCATTCAGGGCTTATTTCTATCCCCTACTATCAAACATCTGTTGAGAACAACATCTGGCATTAAATTTGTCCCCTTACTCCATCTCCAGAATTTTGCTGTGATTAATTCAACTCTCTTTCCATGTGGGCTATGCCTCTGTGAACACACAACAGAAGTTCTAGAGCTAAGGGAATGGACACAGGGTTAAACAATCCAAAACTCAACATCCAATACTAAAACTTTTTAAGCCTTTCATATTTTGAAATTTATCAAGTTGTACATTTCTCCATTCAAAACCTTCCTCCCTTCTCTGCTCTACAGTGGGTGGCAGGCAACTGAGAAAGCACAGTGGAGGTAGAAAGAACGAAGGGAAGAGTAAAACAAGAAAGGATAAAGAGAGAAACGAGAACAAATTCTATTTATTTATTTATTTATTTTTGGAATGAGAGCTTTTTTGCCAGAAACAAAGTAGGTCATCTCATAACCATTATCAGAATTTCTTGGGGCTCTATTATAACTGCAAATTATTGGGGAACCATCCTAGAGCTACTAAATCAGAATATCTGGCACTAGGGCCCCAAATCTGCATTTTAAACAAGCAATATTTTTATACAAATGAAAGATTTAAAACAGTTAATTTAAATATTATCTTGGTGATATTTTATATTTATAAAGCAAATATATCTCACTTCCCTGGTTTATTTTTCTCATAATTTTCACAGTAGTTCTTGCTTCTCATTAAAGTGATTATTTTAAGCTAACAAATGTATTAATTTACCAAACGACTGCTATAAATACAAAAGGTACAAAATTCCAGGAATCCTTGTACTGTGAAGTCAATTATTCTATGAAGAAAAAATACAAACATGAATGAAAAAGACCTGATTCATATATGAGAGGAATAGTGTTGTAGAAACACATACAGTTTGCACAAATATGCTTAGAAAAAGACGAACAGCAGCCAGGAGTGGAGGCACACACCTGTAATCCCAGCAGCTCAGGAGACTGAAGCAAGAGGATCACGAGTTCAAAGCCAGCCTCAGCAACTTAATGAGGCACTAAGCAACTCAGTGAGACCCTGTCTCTAAATAAAATACAAAAAAGGGCCAGGGATATGGCTTAGTGGTTGAGTGCTCCTGGGTTCAATCCCCAGAACCAAAAAAAAATCAAGAAAAAGGTGAACAGAAGGCATCAATGACTGCCTTGCTCAGGAAGATAGGGAGTTTTAATCAGGAGTTTTGAATAACAAAGGTAGTTAGGGAGCTACTACCATGTAGATCTGATCAAGAAGTCAGAAGGATATTGTCCTCTCAGTTCTGCAGCTGTGTGATGCTAAGCCTTTTAATTTTTCTTTGATGTTTTTCTCACTTCCATAATCAACACCAATCTTTATTGTTCATTCTTTTGAAAGGATTCAAGCAACGAAAATATACAAGTTTCTTCAGCACTAACATTCACTGGCTCCACATTTATCCAAGTTTCTTTCCAGAGCAAACATTTGATAGCTCAAACTTCACAGCCATGAAATACCAGATAGGAAATTTCATAAATGCAAATTGGAACCTCCTCTAGTCCGTTAGCAATTCCTTTGTGTACATATACTCCGCAGGAAATCATAAAGCTAAGGTTCAAAGCAGAGCTCTAAGTGATTGTATGTGTCTAGAATTTCTCCAGTGAATTCTGCCAGGGGCATATCCTTGGTAAAACAAAGGCATCCAATCAGAAAAGTTCATGTTTGATGTGATAATATCTTGCCCAGCAATTTTTTCATAGCATCTTTTACTTCCTTGTTTCTTAAGCTATAAATTATGGGGTTTAACATAGGAGTAAGCACTCCATAAAGCAATGAGATGATTTTGTCTATTTCTTGTGAGTTTGATGAAGAAGGTCTTAGGTACATGGATAGGGCAGCCCCATAATATAAGATCACCACAGTCAAATGTGCACCACAAGTAGAAAACGTTTTGTGTCTCCCCTCTGCTGAGCTGATTCTCAGAATAGTAGAGAGGATGAAGACATACGAGATGCAAATTAAGAGCATTGGAATGGGCAGGAGGAGAATGCTGACCACCAGCATGATCATGTCCATGAGCAGTGAACTTGTGCAAGCTAACTTGAGCACTGCCAGGATTTCACAAGTGAAGTGGTCAATGAGATTCCCACAGAGGGGTGTCTGCAGGGCAAAAGTGGTTTCCAGCAGGGCAGTCAGACAGCCCGTTACCCAGGAAATGGTGGCCAACTGCACACAGACCTGCCTGTTCATGATGATGGGGTATCTCAGCGGGTTGCAAATGGCCACATAACGGTCATACGCCATCACAGCCAGAAGCACACACTCTGTGGAGCCCATAGCAAGGGACAGATACATTTGTACAGCACACCCTGAAAAGATAATGGTTTTTCGGGATGACAGCAAGTTCACCAGCAATGTAGGAATAGATGCAGATGTGTAACAAATATCCATGAAAGAGAGATTTCCAAGGAACAAGTACATAGGGGTTTGAAGCTGTGAATCCAGGATAGTGATTAAAATAAGAATGCTATTACCCAGGAGGGTAATCAGATACATTACAAGGCTGAAGATGAAGAGAACAATCTCTAACCTTGGGTATTGGGAAAATCCTTCCAGGAAAAAAAAGCTCCAAATGGTGAAATTTTCTCCTTGCATTTCCTTTCTTTCACCTGTAGTTATTCTAGTATAATTCTCTTCCTTTCATCTGAGGACATAAAGAAATTAATAAAGTATAATGTTTGTTTAGTTATTAAAGCACTCTCAAACTTATTTTCACTATTTCAAACACAATGTTCACAAGAAGTCATAGAATAGCATATGTATTAATCAAGGGGGGGAGCAGGTTTGATCTACATAAAAGTTGATTTTTCCACAATAAAACTTAGAAAACAATGAATCTGAAAACAAGAATAAATTTAATATTTTAATTTCAGCTCATAATCCTATCCTTAGCACAGTAGGCTTTCAATAAAGATTTAAAAGTGATGAATGAGAAAAAATATAAATGGACATTGAATAAATTATTGAGTACAAGTTAGAAAAGTAAGCCAGATAAGTGAAGGAAAGAAAGCTCATAATGTACAATAAATGTACCAATAATGACCTTCCCTGGAATAAGAGAATGAATGTTAAAATAAATAAATTACTGGATTTTAAACCAACACCTACATAGTTCTGGGTCTAAACGAATTCTGTCCAGCTGAGAACTTAGGAGATCTGTATACTGTTTCAGAAAGGATGATGCTGCTTAATGCATTGTGATTATATCTAAGAGACAGTTTATAAATCACATTAAAATAACCCACCTAGGGCTGGGGTTGTGGCTCAGAGACAGAGCGCTCGCCTACCATGCGTGAGGCACTGGGTTCGATCCTCAGCACCACATAAAAATAAAATAAAGATATTGTATCCACCTATAACTAAAAAATCAATATTAAAAAAATAGCCCACCCATTTAAACACTAATATCCATATATAGTTTATTCATTATTGAATACCATATCCTCGTAATTGTGTAAAATCAATAATGCATTTCTTTCAAAATTATTGACTGCCACCATCACTAAAAATATCAAAGAAATTTTCTAGAAATTATACCCAGGTAATACCCTTATTATTCACCAACACCCATGAATATCCAGCAAATGCAGAAAACATACTCCCTTAGAAAAATTAGCATTTCTTGGAAAATAGGATTTAAGCTCCCATAGTTTAATTAAGACACTTCAGGGGTTTGTGGGTTTTTTTACATGTCATATTACAAACAAAAAATTATTAAAAACTTACCTTGCTTTGCACATATATTGCTTGTTATCAACATCATACTGTTTCCTTCTCTGCTGATTCTCTCCATTCTATTTTCAAATACATGTTCTTAAAAACAACCTCCATGGTCACAATAGCCAAGCCCACTGCCATCCTCTTTTTGCTTTTTCATAGATGAGTCAGTCCCTCAATCATATGGTTTATGTTACAATATTTCAGTCTTCACTTTATTACCACTGGCATTCTTTCCTTATTTCTCAATTTCATTCTTCTCCCAGTTCTCCATGTTTAAAATGTTGGCATAAATACAAACGTTGTGACAGTCTTATTTTACTACTTCACTTAAAATACTGCTTTGATATACTTTATAAAGTTAGCTGTGTACAAGGAAGAATGAATGCATCCATGTTAAAAAATGTTATTGTGTAAAATCAATAAAATCAATGCATTTCTTTCAAAATTATTGACTACCACCATCACTAAAAATATCAAAGGGTAGCAACTGAAATACTACGTAAATTTAAATCATTTGTTGTTTTGGGGGAATACACGTTGTCCCTGAACAATTTAAAGTTCAGCAGCTGAGATTTGAAGCTTCAGATCCTTCAGGGATAATGTCCTAAAGATCCAATTATATAAAACATTTAGAGAGTCAGACAAAAAGCAAACCACACTTCCACCTAAAAATGTGCAAGAACCTCCTAAAAAGCAGGTTTTCTGGGCTAGGGTTGTGGCTCAGAAGTAGAGCACTCGCCTAGCATGCGTGAGGCACTGGGTTTGATCCTCAGCACCACGTAAAGTAAAATAAAGACATTGTATCCACCCATAACTAAAAAATAAATATTAAAAAAGAGCAGGTTTTCTATTCTCCCTTTCCCCCAATCACTAGTTATATCAAGATTTTTTTTTTAATGATTACAATATAGAATACCTAACTGAAATACAGGGGGAAATGTCTCTGCAATTCTAAGATATAAGATTTTCCATTTATGAAATTACTTCTTAGTTTTCAGAAATCAAAAATGTTTATTCTTTTAAGCTACAAATAAATCACTTAACGTCTTAACAAGTGATCAAAAATTTTATTCAAAAGACCCAACAATGTACTGCCTTCAAGAGACTCATCTTATAGGAAAAGACGTCCACAGACTGAAGCTGAAAGGTTGGGAAAATACATACCACTCACATGAAATGTGGAAACAAGCAGGGGTTCCCATCCTCATATCAGATAAAGTAGACTTCAAGCCAAAGTTAATCAAAAGGGATAAAGAAAGACATTTCATGCTGCTTAAGGGAACCATACATCAACAAGACATAACAATTATAAATATATATGCCCCAAACAATGGAACATCTACATTCATCGAACTCTTCTCAAGTTCAAGAGTCAAATAGATCACGACAAAATAATTCTGGGTGACTTTAACACACCTCTTTCACCACTGGATAGATCTTCCAAACAAAAGCTAAACAAAGAAACTATAGAACTCAATAATACAATCAGTAACTTAGACTTAACAGACATCCTTACATCCATCAATGAGTGAATACTCTTTCTTCTCAGCAGCACATGGATCCTTCTCTAAAATAGACCATTTATGCCCTTCAATAGATGAATGGATAAAAAAAAATGTGGCATTTATACACAATGGAGTACTACTCAGCACTAAAAAAATGACAAAATCATGGAATTTGCAGGGAAATGGATAGTACTAGAGCAGATTATGCTAAGTGAAGCTAGCCAATCCCTAAAAAACAAATGCCAAATGTCATCTTTGATATAAGGAGAACAACTAAGAACAGAGCAGGGAGGAAGAGCATGAGAAGAAGATCACCGTTAAACAGGAACGAGAGGGGGGAGGGAAAGGGAGAGAGAAGGGAAATTGCATGGTAAAGGAAGGAGACCCTCATTGTTATACAAAATTACATATAAGAGGAAGTAAGGGGAAAAAAAACAAGAGAGAGAAATGAATTATAGTAGATGGGGTAGAGAGAGAAGATGGGAGGAGATGGGAGGGGAGGGAAGGGGAGGGGAGGGGGAATAGTAGAGGATAGGAAAGGCAGCAGAATACAACATGCACTAGTATGGCAGTATGTAAAAAAGTGGATGTGTAACTGATGTGAATCTGCAAAAAAATGTGAATCTGTAAAAATGGGAGTTCATAATCCACATGAATCAAATGTATGAAATATGATATGTCAAGAGCTTTGTAATATTTTGAACAATAATAAAAAATTTTTTTAAATAAATAAATAAAATAGACCATTTATTATTCCACGAAGCAACTCTTAGCAAATACATAAAAGTAGATATCCTACCCTGCATTCTATCAAATCATAATGGAATGAAATTAGAAATCAATGATGAAATAAAAAATAAAAGCTACTCCAACACCTGGAGACTAAATAGTACGCTATTGAGTGAACAATGGGTTGCAAAAGACATCAAAGAGGAGATTAAAAAATTCTTAGAGGTAAATGAAAACACTGATACAACATCAAAATCTCTAGGATACTATGAAGGCAGTATTAAGAGGAAAGTTCATTGCATAGAGTTCATTCCTCAAAAGAAGAAAAAGTCAACAAATAAATGACCTAACATTACATCTCAACACCCCAGAAAAAGAAGAACAAATCAACACCAAAAGAAGTAGAACACAGGAAATAATTAAAATCAGAACTGAAACCAATTAAATTGAAATAAAAGGAACAATTTTTTAAAATGACAAAACAAAAAGTTGGTTCTTTGAAAAAAATAAGTAAAATTGATAAACCCTTAGCTATGCTAACAAAGAGAGGGAGAACAAAAACTCAAATTACTAACATTCATGATGAAAAAGGAAATATCACAATGGACACTACAGAAATACAGAAGATAATTAGAAATTATTTTGAAAATCTGTACTCCAATAAAATAGAAAATACCAAAGGCATCAACAAATTTCTAGAGACATATGATTTGCCCAAACTGAATCAATATGATATACACAAGTTAAACAGATCAATTTCAAGCAATGAAATAGAAGATACCATCAGAAGCCTATCAATCAAGAAAAGCCCAGGACCGGATGGATACACAGCTGAGTTCTACAAGAACTTCAAAGAAGAACTAATACTAATACTCCTCAAATTATTTCATGAAATAGAAAAAAGAGGGGACACTCCTAAACTCATTCTATGAAGCCAATATCACCCTGATTCCAAAACCAGACAAAGACACATCAAAGAAAGAAAACTTCAGAGCAATATCTCTAATGACCATAGATGTAAAAATTATCAATAAAATTCTGGCAAATCAAATTAAAAAACATATCTAAAAGATAGTGCACCACCATCAAGTGGGGTTCATCCCAGGGATGCAAGGTTGGTTCAACATACGGAAATCAATAAATGTAATTTATCACATCAATAGACTTAAAGATAACAATCATATGATTATCTCAATAGATGCAGGAAAAAGCATTGACAGAATACAGCACTATTTCATGTTCAAAACACTAGAAAAATTAAACAGGAACATATCTCAACATTGTAAAAGCTATCTATGCTAAGCCCCAGGCCAATGTCATTTTAAACGGAGAAAAATTGAAAGCATTCCCTCTAAAACTAGAACAAGACAGGGATGCCCTCTTTCACAACTTCTATTTAACATAGTCCTTGAAACTCCAGCCAGAGGAATTAGACAGATGAAAGAAATTAAAGGGATATAGATAGGAAAAGAAGGACTTAAACGATCACAATTTGCTGATGACATGATTCTCTACCTAGAGGATTCAAAAAATTCCACCAGAAAACTTCTAGAACTAATAAATTAAACCAGCAAAGTAGCAAGATATAAAATCAACACCCATAATTCAAAGGCATTTTGGTACATCAGTGACAAATTCTCTGAAAGATAA